GCTATGCGCTCCAGTTGCAGTACAGTAGGCTTAAGTCTTAAACCCCCCACAGCACTAAACCCTAGTGATCTGTAGGGCTGGGTTAAGGGCTCAGGTTTCTGACGGTTTGGGGGGGGGGGGGGGGATGCAATTGGCAACTCCGTAAGCCGAAACCCTAGACCCTAAACCCTTAAACCCTTAAATCCCTAAACCCTAAACCCTAAACCCTTAAACCCTTAAACCCTAAACCCTGAGGTTCATAGCTCGGGATTGGGAAGTTGAAGGTCTAGGGCCTAGGGCTGGAGAAGAGATCCTAATTTAGGGTTTAGGGTTTAGGGTTTAGGGTGTCGGGCTCGGGGTTTTGGGGTGTAGGTATTGGGCTGAAAAGAGTTTAGGGTTTGGGGTTTGGCCCCAAACCCACACCCCTTAACCTACGAAAGTATAATACAAACGGAGCCTAAGGGAGGATTTACCATACCAATGATTTTTTGTTTAAGGGTAGGCCCTAGGGGTATGTTGAATATTTGTTAGACTCTTGGCATCTTTTTGGGTCCTTGTGACAATACGGCACCTGCTAGAGTTGACCGTAATTAAACCCTAAACCCTAAACCCTAAACCCTAAACCCTAAACCCTAAACCCTAAACCCTAAACCCTAAACCCTACACCCTAAACCCTAAACCCTAAACCCTCCTGGTAGAGTTGACTGTCCAACTCAACTGCAAGCCATATGTTCGGCAAAATTGCCTCACCGCGGTGAAGCAAATACTGAACCAGCAGCCCTCAAATTTGACGCCTAAACCCTAAACCCTAAACCCTAAATCCTAAACCCCTAAACCCTAAACCCTAAACCCCGAAGACCAAGTTCCGGGCCCGCAGGGGCTTGCTGGATCTCCGCGATGTTGGCCGAGCCTCAGGAGCTTCCGGGTCTAAGTCCATTACTTTGGTGGGTTTAGGGTTTAGGGTTTAGGGTTTAGGGTTTAGGGTTTAGGGTTTAGGGTTCAGGTTTTAGGGTTAAAAGTAGCGTTATAAGCACCCGAAAAAGGTTCTAAGTTACAACTGTAGTTGCCCTACTTATATATACACAAAAACTTCCAAGAAAATCCTAAATCCTTCTGACGCACCAGGCCTGAACCGAGCCTCTAAACCCCAGATGAGCCCCAAACCCACCCGAAACCCTAAACCCTAAGCCCTAAACCCGAAACCCTAAACCCCAAACCCTAAACCGTAAACCCTAAACCCTAAACCGTAAACCCTAAACAGTAAACCCTTACTTTGAACCTGAACCCCATAAAGCCAGAGTTTGAGGGTGCGTGTGCCGGGTGCCCTGGCAGGGTTTGGTGTCATTGCAAGAACCTCCATCAGGGGCCATCACAGGGGCTCTCGCTGGAACCTCTAAACATCTCCCTAAACCCTAAACCCTACACACTAAACCCTAAACCCTAAACATTTGAAGCCCTAATCCCCTTAAGAAGGGTTCGAAAGTTGGGTTCTGGGGATCATAATCGGGGCTTCTAAGGGATGCTAAGTAGACTTGCCAGCTTCTAAGTATATCTGCGGTTGCTTAAGATACGGGTACCTGGGCAGTACCCTAAACCCTAAACCCTAAACCCTAAACATCTAAAGCTTCTGCAGTATTCTTGTATGCACATAGATGTGCTGCCACGCACGGATGTAGCCCAACTATGTCGCAGCCGCACGCCCCTCGCGCCAAGCGCTCCACTAAAAAAAGACCCTTCGACACTTCATCGCAACAGAGCCCACCCTAAGCCCAAAAAAGACCTCAACCCTAAACCCTAAACAGGGTTTAGGGTTTAGAGCCGGGTTTTAACCCTACAAATCTAAACCCCAAAGCATGTTTCGACGTCAGGGCTTCGGGCTGCAGACCCTTTAGTCGCCAGACGCACGCGACGCCACAAGGCTCACGGAGGCCAGATAGTGCAAGACCCTGATAGCCCTAAACCCTAAACCCTAAACCCTAAACCCTAAACCCTGAACCCTAAATTGCCTGAAGGGCTTCTTAAGGGAACCTAAACCCCCCAAAAAGGGAAGAGTACTACTGGGCATCTTGGGTTTCGGGTTTAGGGTGTAGGGTTTGGGCTCAAGGCTCGAAGCTGCAAGCCCTAACATGGCCCGAATCCACAGCCCGGCAGGGCTTCTCTTGGGGTTTAGGGTTTATAGGGTTTAGGGTTTAGGGTTTAGGGTTTAGGGTTTAGGGTTTAGGGTTTAGGGTTTAGGGTTTAGGGTTTAGAACCCAAAAAAGCGGGGACCATAGAACCCATGGAACCATAAAACCCTTGGGCCGAAATCCTGGACCCTCAACCCTACACCGCAAACCCTAAACCCTAAGTCCTAAGTCCTAAGCCTCAATCCCCAGGCCCCACACAATAACCCTAAACCCTAAACCCTAAACCCTAAACCAACAATAACCATAAACACCCTTTCTATGGTTCATTTTGGGGTGCCCAAGTGGCGGAAAGAGTTCACGGGAGCTAGCAGACCGCCCCTCCGGTAAGTCTTCAGGGGCATCATGTCTGTCTCCAAGTACCTTGTCGTTGGGGTTTAGGGTTTAGGGTTTAGGGTTTAGGGTTTAGGGTTTAGGGTTTAGGGTTTAGGGTTTAGGGTTTAGGGTTTAGGGTTTAGGGTTTAGGGTTTAGGGTTTAGGGTTTAGGGTTTAGGGTTTAGGGTTTAGGGTTTAGGGTTTAGGGTTTAGGGTTTAGGGTTTAGGGTTTAGGGTTTAGGGTTTAGGGTTTAGGGTTCAGGGTTTAGGGTTTGGGCAAGTGGAATCGCCCCTTAGCATCCCTAAACCCTAAACCCTAAACCCTAAACCCTAAACCCTAAACCCTAAACCCTAAACCCTAAACCCTAAACCCTGAACCCTAAACCCTAAACCCTAAACCTCACTTGTTCTCTCTCCCTCTCCTCTTTCCCTCTCTCTCCATCTCTCTGTCCCTGTCTCGATCCCTAGGATTGCCCATAAAACCCTTCTGAGAAACATTCCTGTAGGGGATAGGATTAGGGGGACCCTTGGGGACATGGACCCTCTGAATAAGGTCCCTGTTTGAGAGAGAGAGAGAGAGAGAGGGAGAGAGAGAGAGAGAGAGAGAAGAGGGTTCAGAAGGGTTCCCGTGTAAGGGTCCCCCTTATCCTACCTAGGATCCTGACCAAGAAGAGAAAATGCAAAATATTCCTAGGGTCTACCGAGATCCCTATCTTTGTCTACCCTACACCCGAAACCCTAAACCCTAAACCCCAAACCCTAAACCCTAAACCCTAAACCCTAAACCCTAAACCCTAAACCCTAAACCCTAAACCCTAAACCCTAAACCTTGAACCCTAAACCCTAAACCCTAAACCCTAACCCTAAACCCTAAACCCTAAATCAGGGGAGATGAGGGCTTCAGGGACCCGAGATGCCTGTAAACCCCAAATGTTTTATGGGGCACCCCCCGGTGGGCCCCACAAGGGAACCATAAGCTTTGAGAAGAGGTCCTGTGTAGGCTTTAGGGTGTAGGGTTTAGGGTATAGGGTTTAGGGTTACTATTGGGTTTAGCAGCCCTAAAGCCGAAACTCCGAACGCCTCAACTCCCAAAGCCCTGAACGTGCGAAAGCCCCTAAACCCTAAACCCTAAACCCCAAACCCCAAACCCTAAACCCTAAACCCTAAACCCTAAACCCTAAACCCTAAACCCTAAACCCTAAACCCTAAACCCTAAACCAAGCTCCTTGCATGGTTCAGACCAAGGCACGCTTCCAAGATACCATCCATCTTCCTGGGATGGCAGATGGTGAGGTTTAAACACTCTATCCTATCCTAGGCTTTAGGGTTTAGGGTTTAGGGTTTAGGGTTTAGGGTTTAGGGTTTAGGGTTTAGGGTTTAGGGTTTAGGGTTTAGGGTTTTAGGGTTCAGGGTTTAGGGTTATTCCTGCATAGGATCCCCGTTTATAAGCCAAAATGAAAAAATATGCCCAGGGCCTGCCCAGAATCTCTCCCCCAGGGTAGTTGCAGGGTCCCCTAATGCCGGCCCTTAGAAGGGGACCTAGGGTTTAGGGTTTAGGGTCTAGGGTTTAGGGTTTAGGGTTAGGGTTTAGGGTGTTCAGTATTACCTGAGCAGCTCTCCCATTAGGGCTGAGGGTTTAGGGTTTTAGGGTTTCAGGGTTTAGGGAGTTTAGGGGCCCCGCAACCCTACGCCAGATGCCAAGGCTCATGAACGTAACTGAGGAGGTCCATTTCAACAGCAGGCGCTCCTCCCAACGCAGTTCAGAAGCTCGGGTTTCGTGTTTGGGGCTTAGGAAGAAAAAGGGGTCATGTGGGTTTGTATTCTGAAACAAGGTCCTTTTGGGGGAAGGGGCTCTTCTACACAGGGTTTGAATATAGCACAGCCTCCGCGTGCGTCGCGGCTCTTTTGGTTCAGAGCTGAATCTCTGCCCAAGGTAGGCAGAGAGGAGCAGGCCGATCTCCGCTACTACACTACTGTAGGGGCCGGAATAATTACTAATAGTATTCCCTTAGGGTCCCTTTGTATTTATACTATAATAACCCCCCAAACCCCATTCTAAACCCTAAACCCTAAACCCTAAAACTCTAAACCCTAAACCCTAATTATTCAGGCCCCTACACTACACATTCGAAGCTACGGGACGGGGTGCACGATAAGAGGCACTCGTAGCTTGCCGAAAATCTGAAGATGGCGCAAAGATCTCAGGGTTGTTACATGATATGGGCCCTTAGTATGCTCCCTTTCCTCCGTTAAGTCTGGGCATGTGGGTTGTACAGTATAGGGGGTATATAAGGGGTCGGCCCATATTCAGGGGCCAGGTAACGACCCGAAGAGAAGCGGGGACGCCATCGGAAGATTGAAAGCTCCTATGGAGCACACTTGTCAGGTAGCTTGGTGGATGCCCTTGCAGCCAGCAAGCATACCTTGGTAGCCCAGTAGCCATACTACAGTAAGGGCACCCTTTTTGGGGTTGGTTACTTGATAAAGGGAACCCAGAACCAAAAAAAAAAAAAAACCACTGGGCTACCAAGATGCCGATCCGAAAAGGGGCAAGCTGAGATGCACCGGTAAGGCTCCGCATGATGGCACCAAGCAGCCACCGACCCTGGCCATGATCTCGCAGCTGGGCAGTGCCTAGACCCAAGAGTAGCCTAGGACCCTAGGAATAAAAAAGGGCGCCCTTTTGTGGGTTAAAGAGGCGAAAAAGGGAACCTAAACGCAAAACATAAGGGAAGAAGGGCCTACTCCGGGTCCAAGGTGCTGTCTTCTGACACCACTGAGGAAAAACATCTGCCAAGGCCACGTACATGGCCACCGCTACCAGGGATAAGGCTCCCCGCGCCAGCATTGCCATGGATATCCTGGGTTGGAGCGTTAGCTACGTGATGCTGTGAAAAATCGCGGGTCGTAGTCTGAGAAAGACCAAAACTATATAAGGATCCCACATCATCACCCGGTAGCACGAAGACGCTGTCGACCGTCCCCATCGCGCAGGCAATCAGACTCACCCCAGCCACCACGAATCCGGAAACTTGTGCTCGGTTGCGGCCAAGGTCCCTGGCCCTGCTGGCCAACATGCAGCCAAACACATCCGACCCACTGATGAGCAAGGCACTGAGGAAGGGGTTGGTGGAGAGGGAGTCCGCAGAATAGCTCAAGCCATAATAGGCAAAGACTGTGGCCATGAAACAAAACGCCAGGTGCACCAAGTCCTTCTGCATCGAGCGGCTCATGCCATGGGCCTTCTCCAGGCCGGTGCTATGGGCATAGCTGGGAGGCGTCATCAACGCCTTCGGGAGCGACCCGACCACAAGTCCAAGATCTGGGAAGGCCGTGCAAAGGCCGAGAAGCAGTGGGAGGCCGAGCCACATCAGTGCCTCAACTCGCCAGTCCGTATGGAGGGTCAAAGTCCCACAGCTCATGGCCATCAGCATGGACACAAAGGCATAGACGGTGTTCTCAAGGGCACAGAGCTGCGGGCCATAACCGGGGAAGCAGTTTTGCATGTAAATGTACTGGACACCATGGATGTTGAGGCACATCCCGTGAAGCAGCCTCACTCCACACAAGAGCGTCATGCTCAGCATGGTGATATAAGGCAGGGTAACGGTTGCTACGGACACGGCCAGCATGGTGACACCCAAGAGGACAAGGACCTGCTTCAGGTCAAGCCTCTGCATCAGGGGGTGCAGTGCGATGGCACCGAGCAGCCAGCCAATGAACATGAATGTCTCGCTGATCTTCACCTGGGCTTCACTCAGTGCCAGCGCGGGATCCTGGACAATCTTCCTGTCGATCAAGACCGGCAGAGCCTCGGTTGCACAGCGACCTAGGAAAAGCTTGACAGAAAACCTCTTCTTGCATGATCTTCGAAGCTCAAGAGGAAACCTAACCCCTGAACACAACAAAGAATGCGGAAGGAAATCATACCAACTGACCCTAAACCCTAAACCCTAAACCCTAAACCCTAAACCCTAAACCCTAAACCCTAAACCCTAAACCCTAAACCCTAAACCCTAATTGGGGGCCCAGGAGCTTGCCAGGCTACCTGGAAGGCCCCTATGCAGATTCCCACGCCCAAGAAGGTCCTCATCGCCAAAGTGCGGCTTTCCTTACTGCTGGCTTCGTAGGGAAACGGTTGGGGGCTAGGGGTTAGGGGTTTAGGGTTTAGGGTTTAGGGTGGGTTAGTAGAGAAACCAGGGAATGAGGTACCCTGTATATTCCATTATTATAGGGGGATGTAGGGTACCTCATTCGCTCATTCTCTACTAACCAACCCTAAACCCTAAACCCTAAACCCTACACCCTAAACCCTAAACCCTAAACCCTAGGTTTCGCCGGGATGCAACCTTCGGGTCCTCTTCAAGCTTCCTTTCCCGAAGCTCCTCGGAGTTGCACCAGGCCGATTTTGCAAGAGTACTTCTAGGGTTTAGGGTTTAGGGTTTAGGGTTTAGGGGCCATCAACCCTAAACCCTAAACCCTAAACCCTAAACCCTAAACCCTAAACCCTAAACCCTAAACCCTAAACCCTAAACCCTCTCCGCTGAGCAGCTCGTCGCTGTATGGCGAGGCCAAGCGCGCCAGCAAAGGCGGTAGCTGCAAGGATCGAGGCCATGGCAACTACCTAAAGGCACTGACGCTGCTGCCTCAACCAGACCCAAGGGTAAGCTAGGGATAACAAGGGTTTAGGGTTTAGGGTTTAGGGTTTAGGGTTTAGTGTTTAGGGTGACCCAAGAGTAACCCAGGTTTTAACGGGTATCCTGCCTGCCTGTTGGAGCCTGCTCAGACGAGGCCCCGCCAAAGAAAGACACCTTTAGGTTCAGAGGCCAGGCTCTGCACAGAGTAGGCTTACTTGGCCGAACAAAATTTAGGGTTTAGGGTTTAGGGTTTAGGGTTTAGGGTTTAGGGTTATTGTGCAAGAGCCCCCAAGAATTTGGGAGCTACTCCCTTCGTTTGGAGCTGCTTTAGGTTAGTCTAAGCTTGTTTGGGGTTGCGGGGTGAGGGTGAGTGGTCTGTTGTCGGCTGCAGAGTAGTCATGAGGATGAGAGCGCCTGGACATCTTAACGCCGGACTCTTTTCGTACACCAAAGCCGCACAAAGCCCCAATTAAGTCACAAGAGGCCCTGAACTTAAAACCCAACACCTCTCAACTTTGGGTGTGGTCTAGGACTCGCGGGTCGCGTAAGCTCAGGGTTTTAGGCTTCAGGTGTTCAGGATTTATGATTTTGTTGAAGGGTTTTGGGGTGCAAGGGCTTTCTCCTGTTTTCTTAAGAGCCACCCACCCAAAACTGCCCTCATAAGGTAGAAGACTGGTGTGTTTTGGGTGGTTCTGATTTTTACCCTAAACGCCCCTAAACCCACAAGAGGTTTTGGGGTGCAAGGGTTTTGGGGTTGAGGGACTGTCAGAACTGGGGATGCAAAACCTCGAGGCAACCCTAAACTAAAGCTTAAGGCTTAGGGTTTAGGTTGAGAGTTTAGGGATCAAGCGCCATCCCAAACACTAAACCTTGAACCTTGACCCTGAGCCCTAAGCCCTAAGCCCTAGACCCTAGTCTCTAGACCCTAAACTCTAAACCCACCCGAACAACTTGGAGTCTTGGAAGCGTTTCGGGTTGGGTTCAGGGGCTTAGGATTCAGGACATAAGGGTTGAAGGGTCTCGGAGAGCTCGTAAGGGATCCCAACTAAATGCCATGGGCCATGGCAGCCAAAAAAAAAAAACGTGGCTTTGAAGCCAAAAGACCTCCCAAAACCCGAAGCAACCTCGGCGCAAACCCTCAAGCCACGCCAGAACCCCCCAAGCCTTGATCCCTCGACCGTAAACCCGACAATTCTCGAACTCTGTTGTGACACGAAAGCCCAAAAACCAAAGCTTCCTGAAAACCCTACAACCCCATAAAACCTATAAACCCTAAAGCCTATAAACCCTATGAAACATATAAACCCTAGACCCTAACCCCAATAAACCCTTTTAACCCTAAACCCTACAAGACCTATAAACCCTAAACCGCAAACCCCAAACCCTATAAACCCTATAAACCCGAAATCCTAAACTCCAACCCTGAACCCCAAACCTTCCTAAACCCCAAACCCTAATCCCTATAAAACCTGTAAACCCTAAACCCTAAACCCTGAACCCTAGACCCTAAAACCCTAAAACCCTAAACCCAAACCCTAAACCCCAAACCCTAAACCCCAAACCCTAAACCCCAAACCCATGCAAGAGGCGCCTGGCTGGGAAGGAACACCTCCCAGGGCTCCAGCCCCTCGCCTTCGATTCGAGAAAGAGCCTGAGTCCGCCCCAGGAAGAGGAAGGTTTAGGGTTTAGGGTTTAGGGTTTAGGGTTTAGGGTTTTAGGGTTTTAGGGCTTGGGCTTTAGGGCTTGGGACTTTTTGGTGGCCATCATTCTTGCATTTTTTGGGCGCCGGCTTTCTTGTTCTGGCCGGGTGGCTTAGAGGAGGTGTCCTTGCTATCCAAACGCTAAACCCTCAACCCTCAACCCTAAACCTATAGGGGCTCCCAGCATGTAACAAGCTGCCTGAACCAAACCAACTACGCAGCCCGAAGCCTAAGCCGGGAGTCTGACTGCATGTAGCCCTAAACCCTAAACCCCAATCCCCAAACCCGAAACCCCAAACCCGAAACCCCCCCTAAACCAACCCATTCCCCGCCCACAAGACCCATCCAGGACCTGGTGCCTAAACCTTGATATGCAGAACAGCCCCCCCCCCCCCCCCCCCCAAACAGTTCGGACAAGATTGCTAGCAAGCTCTATACAAAGGGATGTGCGCCCTAAAACCTAAACCCTAAACTTCCCCCTCGTCTGGGAGTCAGGCCATTCGGATCACCCAGGAGGAAGCAATGAGCTGACACCAGGGCAGTTTTTTTTTTTTGGGGGGGTGGGGGGGGGGGGGGTTTAGGGCCCTTGAAGGGGTTTAGGGTTTAGGGCTTGGGGTTTAGGGTTTAGGGTTTTGGAGTTTTGGGAGCTTTTCAGGCCCTTGGGGTTGAGGGTTTATTTTTTGTTTTTTTTTTTTTGGGGGGGGTCTGTTTTTAAGAGGGCAGGGTTTACAGGGGTTGATAGGGGTTCTTTGTTTGTAGGGGTTTACAGGAGTTTGTAGGGGTTTAGAGGGGATTCTTTTTAGGTTTAAGAAGGGTTTTAAGCTGTAACCCCCGGGCTTGAACCTTTTCAAAGATCCCTACGGTAGTATGAGGGCCCACATTAGGAGTAGATAAAGGGGAACCTTTAGGGGGTACCACCTTAGGGCTACGAGTCTGAATGCATTGAGAGCATCTGATACCATATGCCAGGGGTGTGGGAACTTGGATCTTCCTAGCAGTCGGCCACCCTAAACCCTAAACCCCAAACCCCAAGCCCTAAACCCTAAACCTCAAAACCCCAAACCCCAAAGCCTAAGAATCAAGGTGGACCTGATGCCCAAGAACTATGATGTCGAGCCCGACCACAATAATTCCTAAACCCTGCACCTGGAGTCCCTAAACCCTTGCACGCGGCGCACGCAAACAAATGGCAAGGAAAAGGACAAGACGTTTAGGGTTTAGGGTTTAGGGTTTAGGGTTTAGGGTTTAGGGTTTCGAATTTGGATGCCAGAAATGCGATGCCCATAGCTGTCTCTCTACTTGCGCCCACCCGACTCCCGCAAACCCCAAACCCTAAACCCTAAATGCCCTGCGTTGTAGACCTTTCGAAGATGGCCGCGGGAGAAGGGTTCGGGGGGGTGGGGGGGGGGGTTCAGACCCTACCCCTAAACCCTTAAACCCTAAACCCTAAACCCCAAAACCCTAATTCAACCCTAAACCCTAAACCCTAAACCCCTAAACCCCTAAACCCCTAAACCCTGAAACCCTAAACCCAAAAAGCAGGTCTTCAAGAAGGCCTTGGCATGGGGTTCGCGTCCACGGCGACTGGGATCTTCAAGATGCCTTGACAGCTTGTGAATTCAAGGGCTTCAAGTTTTCAAGGGTTTGGGGCTTAGGGTCTTTGAAGAGCCTGGAAGGGCTTTGAGGGGTTTTAAGAGACTTGTTTGATGGGCTTTTAGGGTGTTGCGGGGGGATGCCTTGGGCGCCTGTGCCTTCGCAAAGATTGTAAAACCCTAAGGTAGGGGTTTCAGAATTGAGGGATTAGGGTTTGGAGGTTGTGGGGATTGGGTTTGACTAAGAACTTCAAGGGCTGAAGGGATGTTTAAGGCTTTTGCCGGTTTTAAAGGGTTCTTCATGGCTTTTCTTTTCAGGGTGTTAAAGCGTTTTAAAGGGCTCTTAAGGGTTTAGGGTGTAGGTTCCCTAAACCCTAAACCCTACCCCTAAACCCAAACAACCCTCAACCCTCAACCCTAAACCCTAAACCCTAAACCTCTACACAGTCGCTCTAGGCCCACATATATACTACGTGAGTACATGGACCCTTAGGGAAGGGGCCTGAATGTAGAGGCAAAACCTAAACCTTGAAATGTTCCCCCCGTATACTAACAGCCCTTGATAGGGATGATAGTACCCCTTGTTTCCAATCCCCATTAAGGACTATTAGTAGAAGGGGGAACAACTGCCACAAAAAACAATAAAAGAAACCCTAAACCCTAAACCCAAAACCCAAAGCCCAAAACCCTAAACCCTTTACCCTGAAACCCTTAAACCCTAAACCTAAACCCTAACCCTGAAACCCGAAACCCTAAACCCTAAACCAGCCCAAGGAGCTCTCCAACCGACGCCTCGGACACCTGCGTGGCAACGGTGCGCAAGAAAAAAAGACCCAACAAACCTAACAGTTTACGGTATAGGGTTTAGGGTTTAGGGTTGAGGGTTTAGGGTGACCTTAACTTAAATGGGGTTTCCGGAGTTAGGGGTACCTTCTTGGAAGCCTTATTAGCAGGGAATCCTACTATTTGGGCACTGTCTTCGGGGTCCCGTGTTTTCGTAAGCCCCCCAAAATACCAGAGACTCTAAACCCCATGAACTGCAGAGCTTTTGGGGTTTAGGGTTGAGGGTGTAGGGTTTAGGGTAAACCCCTTTATCAACCCTAAACCTTAAAGGGTGTTTAGGATTGCTTTTGATATACTGCAAAGCCATGGGTGCGCAATTGAAGGTTTGGGCAGGGATACACAACTGCGATGGGGGAGCACCTAGGGTTTAGGGTTTAGGGAGGTTTTTGAACCCTAAGCTCTGAGCTCTTGGGGTAGCTACATGGTTCCTTCGCATGGGCCCTTAAAAGCGTGCCCCTGACATGCGCCCGCGTTCCGCGTAACCCCCCCCCCCCCCCCCCCTACTGGTATCCCCTAAACACACCACCGACCACAGGGCGTGGAGAGAGAAACCCTCAACCTGAACCTACCAATGAACCACAGGGGAGAAGGGTAAACCCGAAACTTTAGCCGCTTTGACCCTGAACCCCCTACCGTAACAGCACGAACCACAGGGGGGAGAGGGGAAACCGTAAACCTGGCATTGCCGCAAAAACCTTGAACCCTAAACTCTAAACCCACCGTGAACCAATGGACCAAGGGGGTCAGAGTGAAAATCCTGAACTCTACAGCCTAACCCTAAACCCATGAACCACAGACCATGAAGCACCAGGGGCGGGGGGGGGGGGGGGGGGGGGGGCAACCCAGGATGTGAGGGGGGGGGGAGGGGGGGGGGGGGTGCGTCTATGCTGGCCCATATATACCCCTTATACACCGGCCCATACATTACTTTAAAGGAGGTTAGGGACCATATCCAGGGCCCATGAAACTACCCCAGGATGAGCCCTGAACCCTTGTCCCTAAACCGCAATGATGTGGGGTTCGAATGGTCAGGGGTTCGGAGGGTTTGGTGCGGGGCTTTGTAGATCTCAAACCCTAGAAAGCCGCTAATTTTCTTAACCGGAGAGTGATGTGATGGGTGAGACAGAGCTGCTGAAGGCAGGGCATCTCATCCGTCAAAAACCCCCAGAAAGCCTTGACCCAAAGCCCCTGACACCAAAAAGCCCAGATGTACACACACACATAAAAAAAGTAAGTGTGTGTGTGTGTGTGTGTGTCTGTCTGTCCGTGTGTCTGTGTGTCTGTCTGTCTGTCTGTCTGTCTGTTTGTCTGTCTCTGTGTGTGTATTTCCCAACACTCGGAACCCCAAGCATCGCACACTCCCTTTTAGAAACACGACCCCAGGCAGGTACCCTATTTTACGGAAACCCCACGTTAAAGCCCCAATCTGTTTTGGGTGGGCTTGCTATTCAGTCAGTTCCCTAAACCTTTGGGTCCCTGATATCATGGGCCTGTAGATGTTAGGGTTTAGGGTTTAGGGTTTAGGGTTTGGGGTTTAGGGTTTAGGGTAGGGTCCTAGCCCCCAAGACCCCTAAACCCTGAACCTGCCCCCCCCCCCCCCCCCCCCCCTAAACCCTAAACCCTAAACCCCAAACCCCAGACCCCAGACCCCAAACCCCAACCCCCAAACCCTAAACCCTACCCGCCTCTGAGTTGCTCTCAGAATCCATAGCAGAGTACACTCTGGGGGGATTTCTGACCTATCTCTTCACTTTTCTCTGGCACTTCAAGATACGCTGCGAGCCGATCGGCCACCGGTTTCGGCGCGTTGAGTTGGGGCCCAGGGACTCAACAACTCACAGCTATACATGTTATAAACACAGGCGCCACAGGCCCCATAAGCCCTTACCCCTCTTCGCCCCCCGGCAAAAAAAAACTAAACCCTAAACTTCTATAAACCCTAAACCCTAATTAGACGCTAAACCCCAACCCCCCCCCCCCCCCCAAAAAAAAAAAAAAAAACGAAAACAACTCAGAGAAGTGACCACACACAAGCTTGGGCGTCGCTTTCTCTCGCCAGCGCGAAGCCCCTACCGACTAAGGCTTCTAAGCCGCCAGCCCTCTAAGCACTATACCAGCCCCAAACCCTACTTCAGCCCTAAACCCTAAACCCTAAACCCTAAACCCTAAACCCTAAACCCTAAACCCTCATTAAGCCCTGAAACCGGACTGAAAAAAAACCGAAGCCCTAGGCCGCACATGCCCGGGCTTAGGATTCATAGGGGTTTAGGGTTTAGGGTTTAGGGTTTAGGGTTTAGGGTTTAGGGCTTAGGGTTGGAGGCCTTCAAGGAATTGAAAACAAACTTTAAAACCCTAAACTCTGCACTTTAGAAGACCTAAATGAGAACCAGAAAGCACAGGTTTTCGGGTTTAGGATTTGCATTTTAGGGTGTATGCAGTAGGGTTTCGGGTAAGCCCATAATCATGAAATGAACAAGCAGGACAAGCTAAGTAGAAGACGAGGGCCACCCCCAGAATGGAAACGAGCTTCTCTCAAGCACTCGAAACAAGATCCCCTTAAATCCCCCAAGGGGCCTCCCAAAACCAGGGTTTAGGGTTTAGGGTTTAGGGTTTAGGGTTTAGGGTTAGGGTTTAGGGTTTAGGGTTTAGGGCTTCGGGTTTCGGATTTCGGGTCAAAACCGGAACTGCCTAGTCTGAAGTGAGCATGCCCCTTGGCAGTCCATGTCGCAGCCCCCGACATGGACCGCGCCGGAGGTGTAGCACTGCTCACCTCCAAACAATCTGGGGTTTAGGGTTTAGGGTTTAGGGTTTAGGGTTTAGGGAAAGAAAGTTTGTTAAAAACTTAGGGGCTTGGGGGGGGGGGGGGGGCTTCGGAGATTTGGGCTAAGTGCCCCCAGACAAACTCAACCGATTCAAGGCTGGGCTTTGAGGGTCAGGCCCTTAAGCCCTAAAGCCGAAAGCCGAAACCCTAAACCCTAAACCCTAAACCCTAACCCTAGACCCCGAAGCCCCAAAGCCCCAGAAGCGGGCAGCTGCAAAGAAACGCCAATGGGCCCGCCTACGAAGCACTTGATTGCCGACCTGGTAACGAAGGAGGGGCACACTCAGCCTAAAGGGCACATACGCATATAGGCTTCCATATTCTTAGTTGCCCAGTTCTCTGGCTGAAGAGGGGGCACCCTGTTTATTGCGGTATAATTATATAAGCCCACGGAGTTTAAAGGTTAGCTACTCACTTGCTAAGTAGTATAACCAGCGCATGCAGCCTGGTCTACTGTAATCTTACAGGGGGCTGGCAAGGCAGGCGCCTTAATGATTAGAGAAATTGAATAAGGTTTTGCGGCATAGCTTTGCTAGAGTAGTTTACACTAAACCCTAAGCAGTAGTGTCACTAATTACCTCCGCCGTTTGTGTATATTACGTGCTTGTCAGGATCCTGTGATACTGTGCGGTGTTTTCTGGTCCACACCGGCTTCGGGCTCAGACAAGTGTAGAGAATGCATGTGAAGGCTTGCAGCTTGCAGAAAGGTTGGACGGCCTGGTTTCCGGGTTCCCTGGAACCCTTTAGAAGTTATAGCAGGATTACGTGAACCACCGAAATGGGCAAGGCAAAGGCTGTCTGCTCAGCTACGTGGTAAGATGGGACTGTTGCTGGTTCCTGATGCTGTTCAACCATGTTGCTTCCTGTTCGCATGGTCCTATGAAAGCTTATCACAAGAGCGAGCCCTCAAAGAACCCGAGCTTGACCTCAAACAGCGATTGCATGCAAAGCCGAAGGTGGGTTTCAGATTTTGGACCTTGCGATTAGTCTGAAGTTCAGGGTACAAAACGCCTAAGTGCTGATGCCAGCTCATAGGAGCTCGGAAGTCTGCATTCGCTTGGCTGGATTAGCTCACAGCTCCAGGAAGGTCAGGAGCTTCTGAATCTCTCTGTCCATATGCCTTGGGCATAGGGACAATTTCAAGATTCCGCAAATCTTGATGACTTGTCTCAGCTGAAGGTATGGGCACCATGTGATCTCCTTTGAGCCATTTGCTCACATCTACCTCGATGTACGGGTAGCCCTTCATGTCCAGCCAGGCCACCTCGGCCTTTTGTGAGTTGCCTAGTCCCTCGGATGCCAGAATAAATTCGCGGTCGTCGGGTGGCAACCAGGCTAGGAACAAACGTCGAAGTTCTCTGCTGTACTGCGAGCTGCTGTCTCTTCCGGTCTTCCTAGAGAGCTTCCCGACCCCAGCCTTGATTGCTGCCTGAAATGATTCCGACTCTTTGAACTCTTGCATCCTGCTGTTTATCTCGTCCCTGCGAAGGTGCTCTGCTCCTGCTGTCGCGAAGCTTGCCACTTTGCCTGCTCCCACAGAGTTCTCGAAATAGTAAACTTCCAGCGGTGCGCCGCATGCATGCGCTATACGCACATTTGCCATCCACTGCTTCCACCAGAGACATCCCCACGGCTTCTGCTCCCCATAGAGGGGAATGCACCAGCATCTCCCTGAAATGTTCTCCTAGGATGGCCGCCAAAACCCCCTGAAAAATATTCCTGAATATGGCCCTCTTAAACCCAATAAGGGAAAATATAAAATGTCCCAAAGGGTCTACCTAGTCTCACTGGCTGGGATTCTGGCATGTCGGCCAAAGGATGGTGTGCCCTCTGGCAGGAACACCACGGCCGCACTTGTTTCGCGCTCGCGGCTGCTTCGAACCAGTGCATCCCAGGCGCCCTCATACTTGCCCGGCCACGAAGCCACGCAGGGGCGCCCGGACTCTGCAATGACAGACCCGTGGAAGACAATGGTGCGGGAGCGGACCTTCTGCTGCCAATATACAAGAGCTTCCCTGTCTCGGCTCTCGAGAATGTCGAGCTCGCGTGCAGATTCACCCGGGGACATGCTTTTGTTATGTCTGTGATAACAACGATAGACGAAGACGCAGCACGGACAAGGCCAAAGGATCAGCAGCGTGTACCACCAGCCGCTGATGATGTCGCTAACACTCATCCAGACAACGCATAGCAGGGCCAAACAGCCCACAAGCCATGCGACACCGCTCCACCAGCGCTCATACCCAGGCGCCTTAACAATCCAGTGGGAAGGAGAAGCCAGCACCGGGACACAGGCGCCCAGGTAGCAGCAGACGAAGAGTGCACAAGTTCGATCAAAGGTCGTCAGAAATTCATCCCCGTCAAAGGGCGCCACTGCCAAGAGAACCAGGATGATGATGGGCAAGTGGAGAAACAAAAGGAGATAGAAGCAATTGTCGAACAGCCCTGTAGTGTTCGCCTCTTGCCGGGCTTCCCTGTTCATCTGTGTCTGCAGCTCCTCACGCCGCTTCGCCTCCTCGTCGATCTCCCGGGCCCTTGCCTCCAGCCACTGCTTGGCCTGTCCTCCGAAGGCTCCGAAGTCGCAGCTGGCGCACAAAACGTCCGTCTGCGTCTGCACCGACCTGCCTGCGATCTCGGGTGCCTCTCGGAGCCTCAGAGTCACCCTGGAGCCGCTCTCGACCTCCAAATTCACCTGCCCGTCTGGATAGAGGACCTGCCACGCCTCACCAGCCCTTATTTCTAGCGCAGCTTGCAGGTCATTCTTCACAGTCACTTCGGACATGGCTGCAGGGAGAGAGGTGGAACAGCTTCGTGCGAAACATCAGCGGAAGACCGATAGCACAATGTTCATAATGAACTAAACGCAAATACTTGCAGGATGTCGGCTCTAGAATCTTGATATCTGCTGTCGTGGCTGTGGTCTGACCCTAAACCCTAAAACCTACATGGGATTTGCGAAGGAGAGGCGCTGTCTAGATTTCCCCTAAACCCCTAAACCCGGTCAAGACTAGTTAAAAGCTTTCGCCAAGACTCCAAAAGTTTTGGGTTTTAGGGTTTAGGGCTAGGGTTTGGGGATATAGGGTTATAGGGGTGAGGGTCAAGGGTTTACCCTCCCCCCTGCCCATTCCGAGGAGCAGAGGAACTGAGGTCGGGGCGTCTTCCCGGCCCCGTTATGGCCCAAGAGGCCAAAGACCTGCAACCGCAACGAGGGGTTCAGGGTTTAGGATTTAGGGTTTAGGGTTAGGGTTTAGGGTTTGGAGGGCCGCGGGTTTAGCGTACGAGGTTTCCCCTAAACCTTAAACACCGAAACCCCCAAACCCAACACCCCATCGTGTGTTATCGGGTCTATCGGGCTTAGGCAGACCCTCCCTGAGATGGGTCGTAGCTCAGGGCTTCGCCCCAACCATCTACTGCAGCAGCCGAAATCATGGTCAAGATTTTGCCTGATTAAGGGCTATAGCTGTGTCATGCGGTCATTACCCCTTGAAGATATAAACCCTAAACACTAAACCCTAAGCCCTAAACCCTAAACCCTAAACCCTATCCCACAAACAGCCGCAGAGCTCATGCTCAGACTCTGCATGTACCACTCCTGAAGATCATGCCAAGATCGACACATGGGAGCCATCTAGAACGCGCCCCCAACGCCGAAAAGAGAAGTCGCCCTTCATGAAACCCTAAACCCTAAACCCTAAACCCTAGACCCTAAACCCCAACAATGACCCCTTCCCCACAATCGAGGTGCGCTTCTGGGCCCCTAGTCACTCGGGGGCTGATCAGTTGAGAAAGCCCCAAGCGCCTGAACCCGATACCCAAACCCTCCTAAACCCTAAATAGAAAACCCCTAAACCTTAAACCCCAAAACCCTGAAACCTAATCCCTAATCGAAACCCAAACAATCCAACAAACCCTAAACCCTAAGGCCCTATAAACCCTAAACCCTAAACCCTAAACAGGCCCGAAATCCTAAACCCTAAACAGAAAAGCCGCAAACCCCTCGAAGCCCCAACGCCAGACCGACCCTCAGCCCCCCTTTGAAGGTGAGAGTTAGCCATGCCTCGCCACTGTGGATGGCAAAGGAGAGGCCTGGCAAGGTCTAGGGTTTAGGGTTTAGGGATTAGGGTTTGGGGTTCAGGGTTTAGGGTTTAGGGTTTGGGGTTTAGGGTTAGGGTTTAGGGTTTGGGGTTTAGGGTTTAGGGTTTAGGGTTTAGGGTTTAGAGGCTCTGAATATGATCCCTTACCCTTATTTCAAGGGAATTAAAAGGATCCGAAGTATGGGCCCTTATTATGTATAGTGTATATAAGGATTCTCTAACAAGGGACCCGAATTTAGGGCCCATACTTCGGATCGCCCAGCCTAGCAAGGTTTGGGGTTGAGGGTTTAGGGTTTAGGGTTTAGGGTTCAGGGTTTAGGGTTTGGGGTTTATAGAGTTATGCTGTTTAGCGTGTTTGGGGTTTAGGGCTCAGGGTCTGGGGTTTGGTGATAATATGGTTCATGGTCGCTGTCAAAGAATCTTGTAATTCTGAACTCAAATCTTCTCCAACAAACAAAACTAAACTAGCTGACCTCCTGGTAAGGGCTGTTTAGGGTTTAGGGTTTAGGGTTTAGGGTTTAGGGTTTAGGGTTTAGGGTTTAGGGTTTAGGGTTTAGGGTTTAGGGTTTCGGGAGGGTGCGCTGTGCCTAACAGCACAAGTCACGTTGCAACCTCGCAGGCTCAGGCAAAAGGGGCGTAGGGCTCGAAGATTTAGAGTCTAGGGTTGCTGTGGGGGCTTCATATGAAGCAGGGTTTATATTTGTGTTTTTGGTGAGTGTATATAAGGTTTCCTTTTAAAATTGGTGAGTGTATAGTTTTGGTGTCCTTTTGGGGGTACAAGAAATATATACCCTACTTCATATAGGTCAGGGAACATGAGCCCATAGCATCCTGGACCCAAACTGTTTATGGTTAAGGGCTTAGCCCTCCCCAAACCCCAAACCCCAAACCCCAAACCCCAAACCCCAAACCCCAACCCCTAAACTCTGACCCCAGACCCTCAACCAGGAACCCTAAATCCTAAACCCTAGACCAGAAACCCTAAACCCTAAACCCTAAACCAGAAACCCTAAACCCTAACCCTAAACCCTTCAGGGATTTAGCCCTCTTCTGGTCGTTTCAGCGCGGAAGCGATGTGCAGTCGTTCATTGGCAGCAGGGCCGCAGAGCCCCAAAGAGACGCGAAACCTTAAAGCCCCATCATTCCGCACACAGTTTAGGGCTTTAGTTAGGGGTTTAGGGGTTTAGGGGTTGAGGGGTTTAGGGGTTTAGGGTTTAGGCTTTAGGGTTTAGGGTCCATGCTTGCCTTACAATTACACCGCTTTAACCCCATAGATCCTTCAACCGCAAGCCCTTCGGCCCTTACGTGGGATATGCAGCGTCCGGACGGGCCGGAGACGAAGTCTTGTCCTGAAATAGCCGTGTAGGCCGCAATCTCCCGATAGAGCCGAGAACAATCCCTAAATTCTGGAATCTCCTGATTCTTGTATGTTTACGGTACACTTAGGTATCTATAAACCTACTCAAACCCCGAAACCCTGAAGACCCTTGCGCTGCGTAGCGCGAAGACTCCTCGGCGTGCACCACGGGGTCTTGGGTCGTTCGAGTACTCTCACAACCTAACAGCCCTGTTTACGCGTTTCTAGTCTGGGCCACGCAGGGGCATGAGGGCTTGTAGGGCTTAAAAACAACGCAGTTCCCTGAACCGTAAACCTTAAACCCCAACCCCTAAACTCCAAGCCCTAAACCCGAAACCCTAAACCCTAAACCCTGAACCGCAACGTCTTTGAGTGCTTGGCGCCCTAAAGTCTGAACCGAACATGAACACGCCGTAGCCGTAAACCCCTAAAACGCAAGCTTTCCCTAGTCCCGTTTAGGGTTTAGGGTTATGGGGTCTGTGCCTGGGTTTGGGATTGCGGTTCAGGGTTTAGAGCTTCTGGGTGCAGGGTTTGGACAGGGTTGTAGGGCTTGTGGGGGGTTGAAGGGTAAAGCTTACTTCACCAATAACCAAGGGGAAACAAAGGTTAAACTTTACTCCTCCTACTAAGGAAGCCCTTAAAAAGTTAAAGTTCAACTGTTGGCTATAAGTAAGAAAGGGGCAAAGAACTCCACTGGGGGCCTAAGACTTCTACTAAACCCTAAACCCTAGCCCTAAACCCTAAACCCTAAACCCTAAACCCTAAACCCTAAACCCTAAAAGTCCCTGGGGCTCACCCGGATGCGTTCAGCCAAGCGTGGCATCGGGCATTTCCGTGCCGGCAGTAGCCGATGGAGTCCCTTTTTGGGACGCTTTCGGGGTTTCAATAGGCCAACGGCCCTAAACCCTAAACCCTAAACCCTAAACCCTAAACCCTAAACCCTAAACCCTGAACCCTGAACCCTGAACCCTCAACCCTGAACCCTAGACCCTAGACCCTAAGGAATCCGGAGGTGAAACCACAAGCCATGAACTAAACCCTACCCTAAACCCTAAACCCTAAACCCTAAACCCTGAACCCTGAACCCTGAACCCTGAACCCTGAACCCTAAACCCTAATCACCATGACACTGTGACACCCCAAAAGGCCCAGACCGAGCTGTACCTAAGCCCGACACCTGTCCTTTCCAATGCCTCAAAAATCGCGGGCTTTGTTGGGGGCAGAGGCGAAAGAAACAGCAAACAGCTATAAACCCTGAAGCCTGACACCCTAAACCCTGAAACCCTGAATCCTGAAACCCTGAAACCCTCAACCCTGAACCCTGAAACCCTGAACCTCCTAAACCTGAAACCCTGAAACCCTACACCCTTAAACCCTAAACCCTACACCCTGACACCCTAAACCCTAAACCCTAAACCCTACACCCTGACCCCCTAAACCCTAAACCCTAACCCCTAAACCCTAAACTCTCAACTCCCGAGCTTCCCAAAGGATCTCTCCGTTCGCTGTAAGGCACTTGTGTCCACCTACACTCTAAGGGTAGTTCCATGGTCCCTTCGCATGGGCCCTTAAAAAAGGGTTTAGGGTTTAGGGTTTAGGGTTTAGGGTTTAGCGTTTGGGGTTTAGGGTAATTCCATGGTCCCTTCCTTGCATCAGAACCGTTTAAAGGAGGCTAGGGACCAGAGTAAGGGCCCATGTAGCTACCCTTAGATACACAGCAATCGCGCACCGGGGGCCGCGAGGAAGCGTAGAGAAACAGGATGGGACAATTAGGCCTCTTTCATCCGACCATCCGCTCGAAGCAGGGCCGTTCTCAAGCCCTAAACCCTAAAACCCTAAATCCTCAGCCCCAAGTCCTAAACCCCTAAACCCGAAACCCTAAACCCTAAACCCTGGTATATCTAGATTCGAGTTGGCAGGCACAAGGCAGACCCTCAAGGCCTGCCTGAATGCGGCTTTGGGTTTAGGATTCAAGGGTTTGAAGCCTCAATCCTCAAGCCTTGAAAGCCTAGGGCTTAGGGTTTGGGGTTAAGGGTTTAGGGTTTAGGGTTTAGGATCCTGAACAGAACCTATACCACTGCATGGACTAGGGTTTAGCGTTTAGGGCTTCCTAAAAACGGACCACTTGGAAAACTCTAAACGAAGCCCAGGCGCGCAAATTTAATTGAAGCATCAGAGGCTGTTCCAAACAATGGTCCCTTTCTCTGGGTGCTAGGGTTTGGGGTTTATAGGCTTTATAGCCCCTTAAACCCCAAACCCTAAACTACACTAGTGAACTGCTAACTGCTTAAGAACCCCCCAACAAATCAAAACATGATCTTTCTCACAGGG